GGGGGGGGGGGGGGAGTGCTGTGTGCACGCACAGCAGTGGGGGCTGCTTCTCTTGCTATCCCCCTTCCCTCGCATGCCCATACCATCGCGCGCCCACTCACCTCCATATGTTCCCGGGTCCCTGTGCCCGCCCTCGCTCCGTCTTTAGATCAACAACGCCGGGCTCTCCTACAACCATGCCGACTACCTGCACAACATCTCCCCCACCCTCATCAACAACCTCATCGCCGTCAACGTTTCCTCCCTCACGCACATCACCCAGGCCGTCCTGCCGGGCATGACTTCCCGCCGTCGTGGTCTGATCATCAACATCGGCTCGGCTGCCGGTCTCATGTCCACCGGTGACCCGCTCTACTCGGTCTACTCCGGCACCAAGGCCTACGTCGACAAGTTCTCCCGCTCCCTCAACCTCGAGTACAAGTCCCAGGGCATCCATGTTGAGGTGGGTCCCATTTTGTGTGGTTATCCCTCTTTTCCTGTCTCTCGCTGCCAGTGTGTTGACCTGTCCCCCCCCCCCCCCATACACACACACACAGTGCTGTGTCCCCTACTTCGTCGTGTCCAAGATGAGCAAGATTCGCAAGCCCAACTTCATGACCCCCACCGCCGACAACTTCGCTCGCTACGCCCTCCAGCGTTCCGGCCGCAGCTTCCTCGTCCTGCCGTACCTGCCCCATGCGCTGCAGCACTTCGTGCTCGAGTCGCTCCCCCTGTCGATCTCGTCCAAGCTGGTCCTCCGCCACCATCTGGATGTCCGCCGCCGGGCCCTTAAGCGTGCCGAGCGTCTGGCTGCCGAGGCCGCCAAGGCCCAGGCCACCACCGCCAACTAAGGGGACCGGACTGAGGCGGGGCATGTTGGCGCGGGACATGGGGTGCATGTCATCCCCCCCCCCCCCCGTCCCCGGCCCCGGCCCCGGCCCTTCCTCTTTCCCCTCTCCAGCGGGGTGTGACCACGCCCGGAGGGGCGACGCGCCTCCCCTCTGGATCCAAGGCGAGGGGGAGGGAGAGAGGCGCGAGGCACGAGGCCAAGTGCATCATTCCCCTCCCCTCCCTCCAGTGGGGGGCCGAGTGTGTATGTGCGCATTGTCCCACGGAGATGGGTGGGAGGAGAGCCTCGCGGGACACCGTTGTGGTGTTCGTTGTCATCACGCCCTCCTCCCCTCTCCCCCTTCCTCCGCTCGCTCACCTGTCCACATACGCCCCTCCCTTAGCAATATAGTCTCAACCTGTGTGTGCTTTTCTCTTCCGTGGCGGACTTGCGTGTGTGTGTGTGTGTGTGTGTGTGTGTGCATGTGTGCCGGGGAATCGCCATGGTGCATGTTTTTTTTTCTATTCCTCCCCCCGTGCGTGGGCCTCTTTCCTCGCCCTTTGTGATGCGCCGCACCCGGCGAGGCGGGGACCGCGCAGCGCATGAGATCACAGCCGCCGGTCGGGAGGGGGGGGGTCCCTCCTGCGTTTTTTTCCTTCCTCCCCCGTTCGGCGAACAAAAGGGGCCGAGAGGAGGGCCGAACCATGGGGTGAAAGGCATCCCGCCCCTGCGAGACAGCGGCGGGAAGAGAATGGGCACCCCCCCCCCCCCGGGGGTGCGCGCAGCAGCGTCGGTGTTTTTTGCTGCCAGACTCAGACAAGAAGCCGTCCGTGCGCGTGGCGGGGCGCGGCTGTGCGCATTCAATTTTTAAAACAGGCAAAGGGGGTGTGTTGTGGGAAACATGTTGGGACATGCTCAAAAATTGCACAAGGCCAGTGGCCGAGTGCGGGTAATTGGGATAGTTTTCAATCAGCAATAACCGTGCCATCGGGAGACCCTCATTGACTACGGTGATCACCACTGCGCAAGGACAGTGCCCGAAGCCCCGGGGTGGCAGGGACCCAGACCGCGGCAAACATGTATGCCGCCCGGGGTCCGCCACGACGGGCGCCTTACTTCCGCCCTCAGCAGAACACCATTGCCATCTGGTGATGGGCTGTGATTCCAGAAGGCTCGCCGATTGTGGATCCCAGGCGTCATTGGCGTCCCGGCGGGCTGGTCCCTCCTCCCCGGCCCCGCCCCCCCGCCCCCCCCCCCCCTGCCCGATCATCATCATCACCACCATCTGCCGGTGATGTCGGCCAGATTCGAGCGACGTGCCCGGGGGAGGCGGTTTTTTTTCCGACCGCAGGGGGCTGGATGGACCGGGAGCCAGCCTCGTCAGGCTTCCGTCGTTGAGCCCCGCGGGCAGGCAGGCCCGTGCGATCGTTGGCACTCGGGTAAGCCTGGTGGGAACGCCGCCCGCCCGATCGGCTGGTGCCCCCGGCGCCGGCCCCCCCCCCCCCCCGCCGCGCGCGTGCCCTCCGGCGGGCTCGGGCTTTCGGACGAACGAGCGTGCGGCAGCGGCGGTCGGAGAAAAGCCGGCGTGCTTCTCGCGCAGCTCGGCCGGGGCGGCCCGTGTCATGGCTCCGGGCCCCGGGCCTCCTGACGAGCAGGCGGTCAGCGTTGCGCCGGCGCTGGGCCGGGAGGGGGGGGGGGGGGGGGGGGGGGGGGCGGTCTGGGCTTCAGGCAAGGGCGCGCAGACACAGCCGCCGTGCTCTGGCCCCGGCGCAAGGTCCACCCGCAAGACCGTGTCAGCCAAACGCCCACGCGCCGGCCTACCCAGTCCAAGATGGTCCCCGCACGCACGCTTCTCTTGCCGTGCGTCCGGAGTGTGTGGGAGGGGGGGAGGGAGCCTGCGTCCGGGTGCCTGCCCCCCCCCCCCCCTTGGCCTGGCATTCCTGGGTTTCTCCAGCGCAGGCGCCATGGCCTCGGCTGGGCCTGAAGAAAAAACGGCCCACCAGTGTGCCGCCCCTCCCACGCCGGCTTGATACTTTGTTTTTACACACCCACCCACGCAGGCGAGCCGGTGCGCGCGCCCCCGCGTAGACACATGGAGACCAGCAGCCGATGCACGCACACGTTCCTGCGGTCATGGGCAAGGTCGTGGGTGGGGCCAGGCGTGCGCTCACCGGCGCCGGCGTGCGAGGGTGTGCTTCTTTCGGGGGCAGCTGGAATGTCGCCGGCTGCCGGGGGATCTTCGCCCGTGGGAGATGAAAAGGACAGGCCCGCTGTATTCTTCTCGCCTGGGGCCGGGCCCGGGAAGAGGGCAAGAGGCTGGGTGCAGGCATGTGTATGTGTGGGGGGGGCGCTTTAACTGCAAGCGCGCGGGCGCCGGGCACCGGGCATCCCGGGCGGGGGGTCTCCCCCCCCGCGGGCGGGAATGCTCGCCGCCGGCTAGATGCGGCAATCACCACCCTGACCGAGGGGGGGGGGGGGGGGGAGACGGCGCGCCGAGGAGAAAGAGGAAAGTGCCCCGCTCCTCGCCCCCCCTCCCCCGTGCCCGGCCGCCGGACCGGGCAGGAGGAGCCAAGACCAACCACGGTGCCGGGGCCGCCAGCCTCGCTTGCGGCCGGCCATCCTTCCCATCCCTGCCCCCCCCCCCCCCCCCCCCCCCGAATGCACACGATCTTCTTTGCTCCTTAGTCCCCTGAGAGATCCCCCGCCTTCCTGTCCCGCCCCCTCCACGTGCTGAAGATGGCTCGCGCCTTCCTCTCCTCCGTGGCCTGCCTGGCTGTGCTGAGCCTCTCGTCCCTCAGCGCGGCCGGTGCCCTGAGCCCGGCCGGCGCCGCCCTCGCTGGTGCGTCAGCGCCGCCTCGCCGCGCATGACGCTTGACTCCCCC